TTTGCTCAAAATAACTGTCACTGACTGACCGCGCTGACACTGTTGAGCCCTACTACCTGACTGCTCACTGTCACCGAAGATGGCAACCACTGTGGCCGAGCAGATTTCCAATGCGGTATCGACTCCACTGTATACCGCAGTGATGAACGTACTGAAAGTTCCAACTGATGCTGTTCCCCCGTTTCCGGAACTGACGGAGCTTGAGGCTCATCAACTGCTGACACTGACGCAGCAACTGATTGACCGCCAGCAACCGCTGGAAACACTGAAGAAGACCCACACTGAGCGACACTTTGGGCCGATCACTGAGCTTCCCTGCGCTGTGACTGATGGCCTGTATGGACTGAGGATGCAGCGACCACTGGTCGAGACCACTGCAATCAATGTCTTCTCGCTCACTGCCTTGCACGCGAGGCGATTTGGGATTCTTCAAGCCCAGATGTCAGTGGAAGTACTGTTTCCGGGACTGACGGAGAACCACCTGTCCTATTCAAGGACTGAGACTGAGCTGTAGCGCGGAATCACTGTGATTTTCGCAACTGCCACCTCTGATGATGTGGACTTCACTGCTGTCCTCGGGAACACTGTGACGAAGGATCAGACTGACTGGAGCCTTGTACTGGCACTGCCCCGTTCTCAGATGGGACAATTTGTCCGTGGAGAACTGTCGATGGACTGTTTTGTCCATCAGCAGTGCAATCTGTGGCACTGTCCAAGATCTGCACTCTTGTGACTGGTGCACATGTACTGGCAAGGAATGGAACTGGACACTGAGGAGAACATCTCACGGCTGGTGATGAATCCACTGAAGAACAGATTCAGCCAAGGCACTGTGAAGACTGAGCCTGGCACTGACATGCTCTACACTTTCAACCGACTGTGGTTGGACCACTGTCTGACAACTGGAAGTGTTGAGAGGTTCGCACTGGAACCCACTGAACTGGAGACTGGGATGATCTTCGAGCTTCAAGGCCTGACTCTTGGTGCACTGTCTGCACTGAGCACTGAGATGACGTGCGCTGAACTGTACGGAAATCACTGCAGAGGCCTTGTTGGGCACCTCGTGCTCACTGTGTCTCAAGGCAAAATGATTGGACTGAACACTGATGACATGTCCTATCAGATGCAGTTTGAGACACTGGGAACTGCACCCACTGTAGCTATGAGGACTGCTCGTGTGGCAACTGTGCCACTGACCACTGATGATGATGACGACCCTGATGAGTCCACTGTGGATGTGATTTTGGGCTCACTGCCCTATGGACGTCGCATCACTGTCGAGCTTCGAAAGTGCAAGTGCGAGACTCCACTGAGCCGCCAACTGTAAAGTTTTCAGTGAACTGAAGTGATACTGTTTGAATAGTGAACTGACTGGTCAGTACCACTGTCTTAGGACAATCAACTGTATCGAGTAGGCACTGCGTTTTTTTTAACTCACTGTGAATCATGTCCAACTGATCGAGACTGATTCAAGGGGAAGTGTTAAGATGCATACACTGACCGACTGCGCACTCCATGATCGTACTGATCTGACTGTGACTGCCAACTGACTGTTGGCTCAAGACGCCACACTGTGAAAAGGTCTGAGTGAACTGCAGACTGTAGATACTGATTTGTCTACTGTTGGTTGCACTGGTGAAAGATCCAGAATCTTTGCAGCATGTCTACTTCAAAGCGACTGAGTTTGGCTGATTAAACTCCGCTTCAGCAACTACGGCTCACGCTTCGGCAACTACGCTTCAGCAACCAAAACTCAGTCTCGCTTCAGCAAACACGCTGCAGCAACCAAAACTCACTCTCGCTTCAGCAACCAAACCTCAGCAACCGAAACTCACCACCTCTGGCAAGTACATGCACAGTCACATCTTACACGCCATATCATAATCCCACCCCCTCTTGCAAATACATGCGCAGTCACATCTTACACGTCATATCTAAATGCCACCCCTCTGGCAAGTACATGCACAGTCACATCTTACACATGATATCTAAATGCAACCCCTCTGGAAAGTACATGCAAAGTCACATCTTACACATGATATCTAAATGCCACCCCCTCTGGCAAGTACATGCAAAGTCACATCTTACACGTCATGTCCAAATGCCACCCCCTCTGGCAAGTACATGCACAGTCACGCCTTACACGTGATATCTAACTCCCACCCCCTCTGGCAAGTACATGCAAAGTCACATCTTACACGTCATACGAAAATCCCGCCCTCTCTGGCAAGTACATGCAAAGTCACCTCTTACACGTGATATCAAAATCCCGCCCCCTCTGGCAAGTACATGCAAAGTCACATCTTACACGTGATATCAAAATCCCACCCCCCCTGGCAAGTACATGCAAAGTCACATCTTACACGTGATATCAAAATCCAACCCCTTCTGGCAAGTACATGCGAAGTCACATCTTACACGTGATATCAAAATCCCGCCCCTCTGGCAAGTACATTCAGAGTCACATCTTACATTTGGTGTATGAATCATAGTTTACGGAGCATAGTTTACGGATCTTGGTTTACGAAGCATTGTTTACGAGTCATAGTTTCCGAGTCATGGTTTATGAAGCATAGTTTACGAGTCATGGTTTACGAATCATAGTTTACCGAAGCAGAAGTCAACCGAGTTTGGCTTGTCATACCCATCTAGCAGAGTTGATGTGCTTTCCGTTTGCGCTTCTTTTTTCCCAAGATAGCATCGGCTACAGGGGGTTTACTTCTCAATGTACTGTAGTGGATCCTGATCGCCCTCCAGCCTTGTCTCGCTTTATGATCGCTGCCTTCGCAGTCCCTCCTGCCTCGTCTCCCACCCGTGTATTCATGATCGCTGCCTTCGCTGCCCCTGCAGCCTTGTCTCACAGTTGTCTCCCTTCATGATCGCTGCCTTGATGTTCATGCCACATCGCAATTGGCCTGCCGTGTGGGTATGCAACCACTCCTAGATAAAACTGGTATTTTGACACCAAATGTGCTTCTGTAGATGCAACCATTGCATGGTCGCGGAACGTGGTTTTGTCAGTGCGTTTGATAGTCTTGTGGGTGTTTCTTACAGTCCTTGCTGTCGTTTTTTTTTTTGTGTTGTTGCGATTGGCGGGGATGGTATTTGTGTTGCAAGTGTGTTTATGCTTGTACTTGTGTTTGTTGTAGTAGTTGTGGTCGTTGATATCGCGTGTGGATGTTTTGCCAATGGATGTGATGGTGGTGGTGGTGGTGGTGCTGCTGCTGCTGTTTTGCTGTTTGTGCTGTTGCTGCTGCTGCTGCTGTTTCTATTGCTGTTGCTGCTGCTGCTACTGGTTCCTGGGGACAGCAAAACATTCACATCAATTTAGTTGAATTCAGCACAATGTTTTCTTGGCATCATTGTGTGAGATTCTGTGAGTGGCCGCAGCTTAGTATCAAACAGAAAAGGTGATCTTGGGGAAGAAAAACATGGCTGAGGCGCGCAGAAATCAGATGAAATCTGCGGACCTCATCCCAGCAGCCGAAACTGAAACCCACAATATAGAATGGCGAAAATGGCGATTGGTTGTCACATTGTTGGTAGGTGGAAATTGCGGGCGAGTGCATGGGAAACTATTGAACCTGATCGGAATCCCACCCGCAACGCGTAGATATCGGTCATTTCACAGTGTGTGTCATAGCAGCATCGTTGTGGCAGGAACTATTGTAAGTACATGACAAGATTCATTTGTATTTAAGAAACCTTTTGAAAAATTCTTGCACCAGGCGACCCCATCTCTGGAAACGTCCAATAAAATTATGCGGGTTGACAGGTCCAACATGGTGCCGAGGCGCAGCCCATTCACAACGTTGTGTTGTGACCCTGTCATGAAGCTTTGCCATCCATGATTCCTCAATTGATTGTGTCGCATTTCAAACCTCAGACATCACCAGAATTTCCCGAACCATTTTTTCTTGAAAGTATATATATATATATATATAATTATACCAGCAGTACCGCACAAGGCGGTGGCGGAAGTTTCAAAAATAGGAAACCTATAGGAGAGGTTGGTTGTTGTGAATCAGGGATGGCAGAGCGAAGCCACTGATGGATCGAAAGGTGATTGAGGTCTCCTCTCTTTCTCTCTCTTTCTCTGACTATCTACCTACCTACCTATCTATATATTCTATCCAATCTATCTATCCATCTATCTATCTATCTATCTATGTATTATTATCTATCTCTCTCTCTATCTCTCTCTCTTCCATCTAATTACCTATCTATCTATCTAGATGGTTGTATGTCATGTCGTGCCTGTTCGGTCTGTCTATCTCTATCTCTGTTCTGGGTTATCTCGCTATCTTGTCATCTGTCTATTCTGTCTACCTGTTCTATCTGGTCTGTCTATCATTATCTATCTATCTATCTGTATACCTGGTCTATCTGTGGTGCAGTGTCTTCAGTTAGGTAGGTAGTGTAATGTAGTGTAGTGTAGTGGAGTGTAATGGAATGTAGTGTAGTGTAATGTAGTGTAGTGTAGTGTAATTTAGTGTAGTGGAGTGTAGTTGTGTAGTTGTAGTTGTAGTGTAGTGGAGTGTAGTGTAGTGTAATGTAGTAAAGTGTAGTGGAAGGTAGTGTAGTGTAATGTAGTGTAGTGTAGCGGAGTGTAGTGTAATGTAGTGTAGTGTCATGTAATTTAGTGTAGTGGAGTGTAGTTGTGTAGTTGTAGTTGTAGTGTAGTGGAGTGTAGTGTAGTGTAATGTAATGTATTGAAGCGACTTTCCTACCTTTTCGCGCATCTGCATCTTCTTTCTTCTGACTCTTTCTCTTCTGATCTTCTCTCTTCTAATCTTTCTCTTCTCTCTGCCTCTGCCCTGCGCTGCTTTTCATCTGTCCATATTGTCGGAAGTTTGACTTCTAAACTTCCTTCGATAATATATATATATATATGTATATAGTTGGCCATTTTTAGTGTGTTTTATCCTTCATAAAAAAACAATGCACGAACAGAATTCCAGTTTCCTGCAGAATACAAAGTCACTGAATCGGTTTGCTTCAGGCCCTCCACTGTGTCAGCAGTCTTGCACAGGGAGGTGAACTTGACGAGGCAGCAGTCCGGCTCCTAAAGGCAGCCTGCCGTTTGCACAATGACCAAATCAAATGCATTGTGCAAATTGTACACCCAAACAAGGCAAAAACCCTTCCATATTTGCATTCCGGTATGTCACCGAGGATTTGATTCGCAACGAATGCAGTGAGGCCTGAATGTCGTACGATTGTAGTTTTTGATAGGGGAGATGTGGATTTGATATATTAAGGCTTTGGTACTTGATATGCCTGGCATAGCCAAAAATTATTTGCACGCGCTACGAACTGCACGATTAGGGTTTTCCCTCTGCGGGCAAAGGTTGCACGCCAGATGGCTCAAGTCAGACAGTTCCAGAGGTGGTATGCAAGGGGTAGACAGGGCATCAAACCAAAACGCACCAATGCCCCAGCGCGCGCACGCAGACACAGACACACACACACACTCACACTCTCACACTGTCACTCACAAAGCACTTGTTTGGAGGCGTCACCCTCTGCTCTTGCGGCCGTGCGCCAGACTGTGATTGAGGGTTACATTCAGCAGGACATATGGTTATTTTAGTTTTTTGTATGTTGCTGCTATGGTAAAAGTTTTGGAACTGAGAACGTGGATGCCGTTCTCTCTGCAGTTTGGGGACATCCAGGACAAGTTTTCCCTGCAATTTGAATTCATCAATTGGCATTGACAGGACCAATTGGAGTCAGCTTGCGCTTTTGCTCTTGAGGCAGCGCCTATATGCTTTGTGTTTGGGAGAAATTGACCATTGCATGTTTAAACACCTCACCATTTGCACTCCTGCTAAGTCCAGTCAAGGCTTTTGTTCACGCTGTCAACGACTTGCTAGTGGAACAGAAAACATATTGGGTGGGCTTTCGGCATTTCCTTTGTTGTGCAGCATGACTTATGAATCTTATGAGAATATTGTTTCACAGATACAGGACCTTCTTCTTCCAGTTCACAAGATCTTTGTGGTTTATCACGAAAGGTAGCTCCAGTGGGGCTACCTTGAGTTATGCTTTACGAAGTAAAGGGGAGGGCGGCCAGCCCCGTTACCTGATTATTCAGGAGATTGCTAGTCATTTCAGTACCCCCCCCCGCCCCCCGTACGTTCGACACTTGGAGGCTATATCGCAAGCCAAGAGGCTATGGATCAATACTAATCAAAAGGGAGCGAAGCAAACCATAGGCGCAAAATGGACGCAATTGATTCCGCCTGCTTCGGGCCGTAATGATTTTTCCAGAAGACTCAAGACATTGTAATTTACAGTATTTTTGTTCTTTTCGGATCAAGAAACCACATTTTGTTGCATGGTGAAACCTCCGTAAATACCAGTGTTTTTGCGAGGTGCTGGCCAAAAAACACTATAAATACCGTGCTTTTTGCTACCAGAGGCAAAAAAACATCGTAAATACCGTGGTTTTGGGCTTCCGACCCGCCAAAACCATTGGTATTTACGGTGTTTTTTGCTCCCAGAGTTACAAAAACACGCGAGAACACCGCCTATTTGACGATTCTCGGCCACTACGGAACCGAGAAAAAACGCTGCAGGGGTAACACCAACACCAACACCACCACCACCACCACCACCAACAACAACAACAACAACGACAACAACGACAACAACGACAACGACGACAACGACGACAACGACGACAACGACGACAACGACGACAACGACGACAACGACG